CATATTCCTTCCATACACATAACGTTTGTGTCCAAGAGGCCAGATATAGTTGGTAAATATTTGATCTCAACCACAGAAGTTTTTATTTGGTAAAGTCAAAATCAAATTAAGGAACTCTTCAAGGTTTGTTAATAGTTTATATTTCACTGTGTTGAAATTATTATTGCAGTTTATATTTGATAAGGTTCTTCATTTGCAAGTCAATTATGCCCTCGCAATAAGAAAATGACATGCCCTCGTAGTAAAACCCCTGTACAACTTTCCCCTATGCACAAAGCATAACTCGTCACGTATTATAGGGTGGCTGGTGGGTGTGTTTGTACATCTTTTTATGGCATTGTTCTTCAGTCTTGTGCATTTGCTTTTTCAAATAAGAAAATCAGGGAGTCCCACTTGGCTTGCCGGTGCATCTTCCAAGGCATAGTATAGGTGCATGTTACATGTATGATGTGGTCAGGAAGAATGAATAGTAATAGGAAGAAAAAGAATCTAAAATTGGTCCGTAATACTGTCTAATCTCGTAGAATCCAAAGTTATTTTACATGCTTCAACACCTAGAAACGAAAACTAGAAAGGGAAAAAACATTGCAGAATTCATCATAGGCTGCAATTGCAATGCCATTCATATCTATAAACATCAAAAGTTTTAGAAGAACTACAATTAACGTCTACACGTGAAAGAATTTTAAAAATGATGAATAATGTTGAAGACTTAAGACTCTGTGGTTGCTGCCTTCAGAATGGCTATTGACCCCAATTTATACCACACAATAAAAACATGAAGCAAGTATAACCAGCAATTCGGGAAATGGAAGCTGAAGGTTTAATGGCAGTTCGAAGAACTGCTAAGCAAGCATTAATCTCCTTCTAATTGGCATGAAATGCGATATCATATGGCGACAACGACCTGCAAGTGGAAAACTGATTAGTCTCTTCTACTGGTATAAAAGAAAATGCAGTAAGGGGGTTCAAAATTATTTGCTCCCAATCAAGTAACTGACAAAAGTATTCATGTCAAAAATACTTATACCGGGCCTTCACCCCCAAAAGGTAGAGAGATCCTTTAAGCCCTTGTTTGAAAGCGATTTATTGTAAGCCCTTGTTTGAAAGCGATTTATTGAAAATCACTTGTGTCCCACTCTCATTTTTAAACACTCATCTCCCAAAAAAATAAAAAATAAAACAAAAATTCAACTTTTCCATAAATCTTCCACTGTACATCCTCCAAAAAATCACTTTTCGAAGTATCATGATCACTAAATGTAAGGTTCCATATCTTCTTTTGAAAGAGGGCTGCCTGCCTGACCTCCTGAACTTACAAGAGCAAGGTACTTAAAACGACAATTCATTGACATCTCCCCTTTGTCGATTTGTGTAGTGTTTATGCACAACAATTTTACAGTGGTAAAGTATGTTATTATTTGACTAAAGAAAAAGAACTTACAAGGAAGTTGAAACGTAACATTAGCAAGGTTCTTAATATTTCGACAAAGATGTGGTCACTATGTTTGAATGATTGACGCTGATGTTTTTGAAGGTTGGGGAATTTTTGAAGCCTAGGCATTGAGAAACAAACGATAACGTAGTCAAAAGATTCAAAAGTCAAAGAATAGCACGAGAGAAAAGAATCTCAAAATGCTTGAAAGGAGGAGGAAGAAAAGAAAAGGCATATCTGGTTCAGATATGATTTGTAAAATTGAAGTAATAGTGATCTCCGATACAATGTGGTTATCAGAAAACATTCCAAAAGAAATGCCAAATTGAAAACGATCAGGTAATAAGCAAAGTTGTTTCGAACATGCATATCCAAATTTAGATCATCCAAGAAGCATATTGAGTTTTAAATTATATGAGATTAATATTACATGCAAACAGAGAAAGATAATCTTCTAGCAGTTGAAAGTCAAAGTCTGCTCATATAAATATGAAAGCATGCACAACAATTTCACACAAGTATTTTGCTAGGGTATGAAAACTTGCTCAAATTGCAGTTATTGATAATTTACACACTAGAAGGTGTGTATGCATACTAGAATGGACAACATATGAAATGAATATATACTAACTAGTGGACATGACACCAATTCAGGATAAAACAATAAAGATAAGCACAAATTTATTTGAAACAAGGTTTATTTGTTTCACCGATTCTATGGTATCTTTTGTTTCCTGTATCTGATACCAAATTTATTTAAAACAAGGTTTATTTGTTGGTATGGGTCATTATCAGCTACATTTCCCAGCTTCTAACAATGATATCATACTTAAAAAACAGAATGCAGTAATTTCTTTGTGCTAGAGGGCCGGAGGCCAATTTCTAAAGTCTAGTAGTAACTTAATACACTCTAGGAGTTCGATAGCTAATGTAACTCTACTTTTTCATTGAGAATTTAATTGAGCGTCCAAAAGGTAATACCCATAACTTGTCTGCATCTGCATTACTTTTGTGATCAACATCCAAATTGACATGTACCGCATGGGAGTTGTACTCACTTTCTTGACCACCTAGCTTAATAAGTTGGGAGAAGCCCTGAACAAGTGATTTCCATTGTAAATACTCCATGCTCTTCTCAGAATGCAGTTCAACTTGCCTTACTGAAGCAGTGTATTAAGCTCAGAAAATCTAACGGCTCCTAAGATTCTATCTGGAAGATCTGACTCAGTTTGACCCTCGATGAGAAAAGATAAGTCAACAGTAAGTGTTGTTATGGTTAATCTAACGCGGACTAGGTATTCAGGTCCCACGAGTTGGTTGGTGAAATCAAGAAATCTCATTTCATATTTTGAAAAAAAGAAAATTTAGTTTCTTGATAATAAGATTTTAAATAATTATAGACAAGTTATTTTTTATATTAAAGAAATTGATAAATTTTAAATTTGATGAATTTTAAACATAAGCACGCAAATTTTAGAAGTTCAGTTTCTGATACCAGTAAAGTGTGAAGAATTTTTGGCCTTCTATGAGGCAGATAATGCAAGTGTCGGTGGTGGATGCACGCTGGTTATGCCATGCTCCCCCAAATCACTATGATTTAATAACCGCCGCACGGTTTGCCTACCGACCTCATTAATTGGGCCAGGTGGATTTTTCAGTCAGATCCATTTCAATTTGAATCTGGATTATTCGCAGGCTAATTCTGAAATTGAACAGTTATTGGGTCAAAGGTTTAAAAAGGGGGAAATAGTAGGGCTCTTAGGAGGCTAATGAGATAGTAAATGCAAGTTTTTGGATGCAGTTGAGGGTTACTATGATTTCACTTTCAATAGGATTGTGTACTAAACTTTTTAGTACTATTATGTCCGTATGACTTGTCTTGCACACACATAAAAACAACAAATCAATTCTTATTCTCAACCCGTAGACTACGTTCTACAATTTCTCGCCATTTCTACCATGTCATCGGATATTATGGGAAGACATATTTATCTTCTTTTCTTTTAGTATAGTTTGGACAAGATGGATCAATGAATCATTTTTACTCAAAAGACTAGTTTACATAAATTTCCACTGGCTAAAGTGTTCCATTATGGATCTATAAGCTTGATCGTGGAGCCATGCAGGTAAGCACATTTGAAGGCAATGCAGGTCGCCAAGGATGCCAGGGAATTGCTCCCATACAAGATTGATGATTCTGCAATGTCCCTGTGGCATGACAATTTGAAGCTTCACTGTCCGACCCTTGGAGAAAAGGGCTGCAGATATTACAATAAGCTATGTTGAATTGTTAGTTTCAGATTCTCAATTTCTATAGTTTAGAGCATTAACGCTATAATGGTTAGGTGAGGCTCTTAAAAGAAGAAACAGCCTTAGTCTCTGTCTATATATATATATATTATTGTAAACAATTGTGGAAGACAGTGGTGTATTCTTAATGTTATGCTTTGGCAGTTAGTACAATTACTTATATCTCTGGCTGCATTTGGTGCATCTCCTAACAATTTCTTTATACTATTTGAAAAATGCAATTCATGTGGCTCTAAATTATAAATATTTTGGGTTTCATTCTATTCTATGAGAAATATTGAGTTCTCCTGATTAAGAATATGTTTGGATAATTTTCTAAAAATTCATTATCTAGTTAGAAAAGTTTTTAGAGGAAGCTAACACTAGGTAAGTTCCTCATAAAATCCTTCTACAAGAAGCAGAAACTCTGTCAAATGGGCCCTAAGTTCGAAATACTTGGTTTATTGGCTTATCTTAAGGTATGAAAAGAAAACAATAGCTAAAAGAATAATGTTTTTACCATAATTCATTGAAGAGACATTCATTACTGCATTGAAAAAAATAAATAAATAAATTTGTACACGGTGGTGGATATTTATGATACAGAAAGTATATTTCCATGAAATTCCAATGGTAGATTAAATGTTCTAGGGAAAGAGATATTACGACACTGATGTGAATATTCTAAAGCCCTGTTTGACAATCATTATTTAAAAACTTTTTTTCTACGTCCTCATTTTCAACCACACATTTATACAATAAAATATTTGCTACTTTTTAACTACACATTCTATAAAAATTCACTTTCAAAACTCCATTTTACCGAAATAATGATTATCAAACATGGGTTAAATAAACTAAATAACAACCACCACAACTTGAATTATATACCGTTCACAGCTTAAGAAGCTACCCACAGTAGCCCATTTTGAACCACACCTTGTCACTTCCATCCCCTCTATCTTTGATACCAATATACTTTTAAGTTTGCACAAGTTATTTCTTTCTCTTCCTTCTCCTTTTTGTTTCTTATAATAATTCTTTATCCTTCATATTCCTTCTTTTATTCCATGTCTTTTAATGTGAAGAATTATTAGAATAACAAAAATATCTTCCCTGTTATTACTATATTTGCTCAACTACTGAATTATGGAGAGAATCGACCAATAAACCAAGCCTTATGCTCCAGAAATCTACATATAATTAATTATTTGTGCTAGATGTAGTTTATAAAGCAAAAATGTACTAAGTGTTAAAATTATTTCTATAAACCTTAAATTTGTGTCTGTCCCTTGTTGGTGAATAGAATTTCCATGGTTCAATTGATGGCTACAAAGTCAAGGCAATAAACACAACAGGAGCTGGCGATTCTTTTGTGGGAGCCCTTCATGGCATAATCCAGGTAATTTCTTGATAATATTGTTTATGTATTACACATTCTAATTACGTTTAGAATTTACCTAACACTAATTCTATAGATTTCTTGATTTCCAGAACGAGCCTAAATTGAAGGAAGTGCTTAAAATTTGCATTTGCATGTACCTGTGGAGCCATCACCACGACTAAAAAGGGAGCCATCCCACTCTCCCGACCGAGAAAGTAGTCCTCAGTGTTCTCAAAGGAGGAAAATAGAGGAAAGAGTTTCCTCTTTTCCTAATTTTGATTTTTGACATGTTTTGGTATTGTTTGCAATTCCTAATAGGTTTCCTATTTCTCAATTTCAGGTTTTCTTTCTATTTCCTTGTAAGGGTGCAATAATTTCTTTTATAAGTTAAAATAAATATCGATTCGTCATATTTTTCAATTGCTCTTAA